CTTATTTTTTATTCTAATTATAATATATATATATAATATATATATGGGGAATAGCACTTCTTATAATCTTTCTTCTTTTTCTTTCTCTCCCTTTCTGGTACTCTAAATTACTTTTCTTCTCTAGATGCTGTAGGAAGGAATATGTGAGGTGCCTTGCATCAAAAGCTATGGAGAAAAAAATTGAAGAGATGTTCAGTAGCATCTTCCTCACACAGAAGATTGAATTAGTTGTCTGTCATTGGAATGTCTATGTACGACATTCTACACTCAACTAGATTAGCCTGGATAATGGAGGGTACATTTCCACAATGCAAAATGGCAGATAATCTATTGCTACATAATGGGAACAAGGTTCTTCTTCAAATAGAGCTGACTCAAAGCCAAATCGAGAAGTAGAGCATGGTGATTTTAGTTTCCTACTCTCTTAGCTTTTGGTGCCCCATTCCCAATTTCCCATAGGGATCAGTGCTTTTGTGAGTCATGTAATTGGTCGGATCAAGGATTCTGGATTCAGATGGATATGGCTCCTGTGCTTACTAGCTGTACAACCAGAAGTAATTTATTATTTCTGAGCCTCAGATTCTTCATCTTTAAACATAGGTAGCTATTAGTACTTCTATCACAGAGGTGTTATGAAAACTAAGTGAGAAAATGCATTCAAAGTGTTTAATGTAGTACATATTCATAGTATAATATGCTGATATAAAGTTCTTAATATTTAATATGAAAGTATATAGTAACACTTAGACATTAGTTGTTAACTATAATAAGAATATTTTCCCTAGTAGAAGGATATGAGGTCAGTTCCTTAGAGCTGCTTAGTGTAAATAGTCCCCAGTAATTTATAGAGATGCCATTTTATGATTGTTTATATTGAGACAGAATCCTAAATTCAAAACACCAGAAATAAATGGAAAATTATGGACATTTGGGCATCAGCCATTGCAGGGGACAAGATGGGAAACAAAATCATTGAGTATATCTTCTGTTGGTGACAAGAAACACTGTCTGGAATGGTGAGAGGTGGGAAGCCAACTCTAAAGGGAGATGCATAAGGCCCAGGAAGGAGAAAGGCTTGGTGGCTGGCAGTTTGGATCCAGCACCAAGGGCATTTCTGACCACCAGAATTGGTTAGCACAAGATAGGAAACTAATAGGAAGATGGCATACCTGAAGACCTCTTTTATCATATCATTGATGATTGCTTCTCATTATATTCTTTTGCTTTTTTCTCTCTCCAATTACATATTTCTTTGTTATGGTATGTTTCCCCCCTAAGCATACGTAGGTCTTTTGAAGACTCTTCTTTAGCATTGTTGAGTATTGATAGAATCATAACATTTTATGGCTAAAAAAAGACTGGAGAGATAATCTTGTCCTACTATTTATGTGGTGAGTCGGTAATCTAATCTTAAGGATGTGAAATGATATGATTTTTCCAGGGCACTCATGTCTTCATTTTAGTAAGTTTATTCAGTGTTTTGCCTACTGTTTACTATGAAAAGTATAGTGGAGAGTGTCTTATTCACCTACTATGTGTTAGGCACTCTGAAGTTCTAGGAATACAGTTTTGGACAATGTCAGCCCTATGAGCTTAGGCTCTTAAGGAAAATAGACCTTATCTTCTTTGGTAAGTGAGTATCACTCTAATTCTGAAATTATGCTGGAAAGAGGTTCCATCAAACCTTTTGTAGGGTGGAATGGCAGTTTTTCTTTTTTATGATCTGCATTCTGTTCGTCCTAGTAGAGTAGTTTGAACCTTATGAATATTGTATTAGACAGGACACTCTGTGCTGCCCATGGTACAACTCTAATGCAAACTTGGTTCAGTCAGGGGGAATTATTGGCTTAAACCAGGAAATAGGAAAGTTAGGGGTAGAGTTGGTTTCAAAAATGACTGGAACTAGAGGTTTGAAGTCTTTCTCCCCACTTTCTTTGCACATGGACCTCATTCTGTCAATTGGCTTATTCTACAAAATGGGTAAATGGCTGTCATATCTAATACCTCCACAAGCTGAGAGGGGAGCAGGTCTTGTCTGAGTTGTAGCTTGCAATCTTGGGGAACGACTCTTTATAGTCCAGTTTGGAACTTGTGACTATTCATTTGAAGCAAATCAATTGGCCAGGGAGATGAGGTTAACCTTGTATCACAGATCCACCCCATGACGGATGTATGTGAGTGAGTGTGTGTGCGTGTGTGTGTATGATCACAAGAATAGCATAGACATGGCTCCTGGGTGGACCATTGGGTTCTTAACTTCTAGACAGTCCTTCCAATTGTGTCAATTATAGATAAATAAAGGAGAAATAAATGAAACTTCAGTTCTCTTCTTTGCATTTTATATTCTATTTAGGACACATTAAAAATGAGAGAGAGAGAGAGAGAGAGAGACCGACCGACCTTTTGGTGTATGGGATGACAACTGAACCACACTGGTCAGGGCATACCAAATAAATTTTAAGTCAAGCTACAGCTCTTATTTATTTGTAACATCTGGGAACCATGTCATATGAGGAGTAATCAAAGGAACTGATAATATTTAATAAGGAGATGGGAAAAATAAAGAGACATAAAAGTTGTCATTAAATGCTCAATGGAGGAAGATGTGGAAGATGAAGGAGACTTGTTTAATATTTCTCCAAAGGACAGAACTAGCATAAGTGAGATAGGAGTGATGGGATAAGGATTTCAACTCAGAGTAAAAAGAACTTTATACAATTTGTAACTGTCTAAAATGAGAATGAACTCTTTTGTGAAGTGGCATGCTCCACAGCAGTGAAAACTTTAGACACGGATGATTAACTACTGATGATGTAAAAGGAAATCCTTCCTGGGCCAACATATGGCCTTTTATTTTAAGGCTTGCATTC